TAAGGAAGGCATTTGTCCATACTTATTGGAATGTCACTTGAGCACCCTCATCGGGGATGTCGGGAAGTCACTAAGGAAGGCATTTGTCCATACTTATTGGAATGTCACTTGAGCACCCTCATCGGGGATGTCGGGAAGTCACTAAGGAAGGCATTTGTCCATACTTATTGGAATGTCACTTGAGCACCCTCATCGGGGATGTCGGGAAGTCACTAAGGAAGGCATTCGTCCATACTTATTGGAATGTCACTTGAGCACCCTCATCGGGGATGTTGGGAAGTCACTAAGGAAGGCATTCGTCCATACTTATTGGAATGTCACTTGAGCACCCTCATCGGGGATGTTGGGAAGTCACTAAGGAAGGCATTCGTCCATACTTATTGGAATGTCACTTGAGCACCCTCATCGGGGATGTTGGGAAGTCACTAAGGAAGGCATTCGTCCATACTTATTGGAATGTCACTTGAGCATCCTCACCGGGGATGTCATTAAGCTATTAATATTCCTCAGAACAGATCTCTGTTGCATTAATATCCCTCTCAGGACAGATCTCTGTTGCATTAATATCCCTCTCAGGACAGATCTCTGTTGCAAACCTTGGAATTAAAATAAAATGGCCACCAAAAACATGTTGACACTACCATAACATGAGCAGGCAATTTTGTGCAGCCATATTGGTATTATAAGTGTTGGATTAGGTGTTGAACATTTTCCACTTAATTTAAGCTTGTTTTCAGACGGCACCATTGTTTGGGCTCTGCAAACCCGTGGCTGCAGGGAGCCTCGGATATTTAAGGGGCCCAAACTTGTGACATGGAAACAATTAAATTTTAGCTTTGAATGCATGAAGAGGGGGTTGCTATTCCAAAGAGTGCCAGAAGTCAGGCAACTGCCCTGCTTTTAGAATTTCCCAGTCACACCCAGAAGTCAGTATAATAAGCGTAATAATTGAGTGTTGTTTTTCTCCTTTCTCTAAGTGCTCTTGATGCAGAATCTGAGAGAATCGTCCAGGAGGCTCTTGACAAAGTTGTACAAGGTACGTAGCCTTTATCACACAAAAATTTGGCAAAACTAAGGGGATAGTTTTTAATTCTATCAATCATGCAAATCCCGCTAATTGCAACCCTATAAGTGTTGGACTGAGATAAAGCTTTCAAAGTAGAAACTGTCCAGCTTCTAAATATTTCAATAGTGCTAACCATAATGGAATATTAGACATTGCAGCTAGTGGTATTTTGTATACAATATGGACAGTAATTGATATGGAAAATAAATTAATAACAAGATTTGGTACTTTGACTCCATACGGTATAAACCAAATTCACAATTTCTACCTAGCTGCCATGTCCTTTTCCTGTTCGGTTTTTAAATTTTATTTCCACCCACTTTCTTTCCGTTCTTCTGAACTTTGTTTTTGTCAGGGACTTGCACCCACTCTCATTCTATTCTTTCATTTTTGGGTATGTATACTTTTGTGTTCTTTGCTAATGACACCCATCAAAGTTATCCATTACATTTAGCACGGTTCCATCATTGAACACACTACTTACAGATAAACTGAATTATATTCTCAGGGAGAACTACATTAGTGATAGCCCACCGACTCAGCACTATAAGAGACGCCGACCTCATTGCTGTAGTTTCCAAAGGCAGAGTGGTGGAGGTACAGTACAAATTAAGCTTAATTAACTAAGCAGTCTTTGTCTGGCTCAAGTTTGGGGGAATTTTTAAAAAATATTCATCAATTTGGTTTTGGCTGCACACTTTTTCATGGCAGCAATTTGGTTTGAGATTTAGTCCATAGCCATATTTTTACATAATCATGTATCAAATTAAAACTGTTGGCAAATATTTCCCACACATGGTGGTATAAGAATTGTGGGACAAACCCCAAGGAAACAAGTAAAAAACAAACAATAGACAACTCATTTCGTATGGTCTCTCCACAGATGGGAACTCACTCATCACTAAAAGCAGCAAGAGGAATATATTGGGACCTTATAAAGAAACAAGAAATAGAGGAAGAGATAGAGAGTATCGAGTGATTGAGAAAATAGGATGAATGGAATTAAATCAATGTCTGTTAACGTTTGTATATTGGATAAACTGTAACATAGATATTAACATCTGAAATTTTGAATTGCGTTCATGTAAAAGTATTTTAGGCCCACTCCAGGAATGAAAAGTATGTTGTATGTTACATTTTCTTGGTATTTGACATTTTGACGACATAAAATATAAATTTCATTTCTTAAAATATGTTTTTCCTTTTAGGCTAACTTGATATCTATCTACAATTTATTTCAATAAAACATTTAATAAGAATGATGAACAAGTTTATTTATATTTATTGTTCATATTTCATTTACAAAAAATTACAAGTTCAAGTTTTATTTTCAAAGCTGCTATAATTTTGTCCGACTGGACGCTGCAAAGGCATGGAGGTTTCCCATCTGACTTAATCCACTCTGGATGTGGTTGATGTGGATCTCTACATTATTCTGGAAGACACTGGAAATAAATTAAAATAGAAAATTACTTTTAAAAAAACAAACACAATTGTTGTCATATGCAGAATGAAAAAATTAAAATCTTGAGAACTCTCTTAAAATTATAAAAAGGCAAAGATTTGTTGAAATGATACCACTCTTGTCACCTATGTGACACTTGAGTGACATTTGTCTATAAATTGGGGGGAGGGGGGGGATTGGAGTAACCAGCCATTTTAGTAATCTTGGGATTCCAACCGATCTTTGACAATATGAAATTTAAAAAATTGTAAGATTTTGTTCATTGTTGAAACATGTATCAATTTTCCTGCATTTTTTTTGGCCAATCATTTAAAAAAACAATTATTAAAATTATAAGGAACAATTTTACACACTGAAAGATGTGTTTGGTAAAAGATGAGCTATGCATAAAAGATTACCTATATCTAAAAGATGAGCTATGCATAAAAGATAAACTATATCTCAAAGATGAGTTATGCATAAAAGATAAACTATATCTCAAAGATGAGTTATGCATAAAAGATAACCTATATCTAAAAGATGAGTTATCATAAAAGATAACCTATATCTAAAAGATGAGTTATCATAAAAGGTGAGTTTTGCGTAAAAGATGACTTATGCAAATGATGAGCTACACTAAAAAGATGTAAAAGATGAGCCACATGTAAAACAAGGGTTACATAATAGATGAGCTATAGGTAATAGATATAAAAGATGAGCTTTATGGAAATGATGAGTTATGCAACTGTTTTGGTAAGTAAGTGATGTAGTACTGATATTGTAAAGTGCTTTGTTTTTTTTTTCAATATTCATTTTTGAAACAGATAACCAGAAATGAAATCATCCTTTACTTTAACATCCTTAAATATAATACATCCAAATAGTATGAGTTTACCTGGAGAAAATGTCAGTGATGAATTTTAAACAAGCTTTTAAGGTAGACCAATCAGGTTACTTACTTGATGTTATTTGCATCTAGTCTCCCTTTTATATCATGTAAACTCTCTTGAAGTGAACCAAATTCAAATGAACTGTTTTCATTTTCTGAGAATGTCTGGTTAAAAGAAACACAATTGTGTAAATTAAACACTGCAAAAATCACATTCCTGTCCCAATAGATTTTTAAAACAAAGATGTCTCTCCTAAACTCAGCATGGCACCAATGCAACTTTACTTAAAAATGATAAAAGCATTATTAAAAACACTTCTGTGAGATACAGTTAAATATTAAATTAACTCTAAGAACTTCACAATGATAAACTTCAATTAAATTGTGCAGGTCTACGTACACCTACCCTTATTTGAAGCATTATTGAAGTGAGATCAGAAACTAGCTTGAGAATTCTTTCATTATTAGCCGTCCTGCGATTCTGAAGCATTCCCTGTTGAAGGGGTCAAACAGAGTTCATTAGGGAAACCATTTTATTCAAACCTGTCATAAGTAATAACATTTTTCCATTCCAAACAGATCACCAATAATAACAAACATTGTGTTTGCCGTACTTAGTTATCCACAAAAATTAACCAATAAAGATCTCTAAGAAAATAGTAACTAATCTCTTGTTATAAAAACTTTTGGTGCATCAAATTCTGGACTCACACGACAAATTCTTGTAACTGTTTCTTCTGCCTCTTCGTCACATTTTCGTCTAATTTCTGATGGTGGCTCTGCGGGGGTCACACCAACCTCAGGGGAAATCTGGACAAAAATCAGATTGATTTTTTAAAATTAGCCACACTGAATAAAACTGTTATAATTGTTTTGCTTTCCCACACAAGATTATAAAAAGACAGGTTTTTTTTATCTTGTTTTCAATAAAATCATAGAAAAGTGACGCACTTTCACGACAGTAATAAAAGCTACACTTTATGGCTAGAGTGAATGTGCCAGTAGCGACACAAAAGCATGCCATCTTACATCAAGACAATATGTCTGGACACCGTTGAGGTAATCATTCAGATCTTTGTTCAGCTTCTCCAGCTCCAAAACAATTCCTGCATATGTTTTTTGAAATTCTAGCGATATTGACTCCTGGAAGGAACTCTGGGGGGAAAAATTAATTCAGTCAATGATAGTTGATACATGTATAGCATTCTTCTCAACACTTAATTTTCCTATCCACTAAACAATCAATGTTTACTAGAGATGGACTTTTAAAAAATTATTTTAATGACTTGTCTAACACGAGTGAAGAGACTTCAGACTGAATTCATAGATCAAGTTGCAAATAATTATTTTATTTCTTCCTCACTGGACATCAAAGGTGTAACCATTTACAATGAAATATTTATCAATCCATGCTTCTGGCCTATCAGCATGTTAAAAAGCATTACTTCATAAGAATCAAGCATTTGTAGTTACCGGTATATGAATATTTATTTTGAATAATAGATGAAAAAAAAATTAAATTTTGTCTTGGTAATGTGAATCATATTGTTTTACAAATTTGCATATATTTTTATTTAATGGTTCACACTTTTTAAAAATTCCTTAAAACGAACTAATATTAACAATAGCATGTTTACCTTTTTCTCAGCCGTGCTGTTCATGTCACTCAGCTGCTTGATCCAATCTTTCTTCACTTGAAGAATTTTGGATAATCGTGTCTAGACAGTAAAGATTTAATATAATTTTTTTTTTTTAAACAACATAAATCTATGTTTTCAAGTGTACAAGTTTGTGTTATGTTTTGCACACAGCATTTTTTATTTTGTTTATTTCCATAATTTTACTCCATGTGGGTATGTTAAGTTTTACACACACAAAAGTATTACGATTTTCATGAAAACGTATAATTATAATACAAAATTTCTAAGGTTGTATTTCAGTCCAGTCCAATTATTCAATATGTTTTAAACATTGTAGGTTAGATTTTGAAAAGGGTGGGGGTGCACGCATTTAAGGTCCAAGATAAATCATTGATGTTGTTATGAAATTAATTATTTAACATGCATATATTTATCATAAAATGCAGTTAAATAATTAAGAAACAGATTACTTATTATAAAACCATTTTTTTGCTAGTGCACTCTGTCACTCAATCTTATCACATTCTAAGCATCACTAAATCGGACATTTTGAATGAATGAAACAGGTGGTTTGGCTCCATGACAACAGGTTGAATCTAAGACAACTTACCACTAGGACCAGAAATTTGATGGGGAAGCCACCGTAAGTACCTCCCTCCAAGCTCACTAGCTTCCCTTTAAACGGTGATTGTGCTTCCATCCCCTCGGGTGGAGCGAACTACACAACAAAAGAGTTACAAACATAACAATAGTACAATTCTCAACATGAGCTACTCAAGTTAAAATTTTCTTTTAAAAATAAGGATGCTGTAAATCAATTACTGTACATACTCGTCTATAAGTCAAGGGCAATTATTTTTACCAAAAATGATGAAATATGCCAGGACTTGATATGTCGAGGGTAAAATTGGGGGCTTTTAAATTCTGTGATTTTTATAATTCTGCCAGAAATGGTTGCACTTTAGACTAAATTATTGCTAGTGTATGATTGACTCCAGGCATATCATACCAGATGCCTGTATCAAAATCTCCATCTGTGTGTGTGTGTGTGTGTGTCTGTACTCGGTATCTGGGTTGACATTATGCTAACAGCAGGTGCACTTGCGATACCGGTCGTTCGACATTGCCCCGCATTCAATGAAAAAACTTCTACCAACATTAGCCCTGCCCCATGAATTAGTCAAAAGAGTTTTAAAATGAAGTTTATGATTAAAATCACTAGACTTATTCACGAATGTACCCATTTTGTTTATTTAGTCATTCAAATCACAGAAATTGGGGGTTTTCTTTAAACAAAAATAATACCAGGTTAGATATCTCCCCGAATTAAACTGAATGAATACTTATTGATACATTCTTATTTTTAATATTGGGTTCAAAACATGAGTTTTCAAATATACTTTTTTATTCTTAAATGTAATATCTGCATAAGAATTATTAAGAAAAGTAATACTCAATTTGATCAACAGCCAGCTAAAAAAAAAAAACTATTATAAATTCAAGTATTAATAAATTCACTTATTAATAAAAGTTCACTTACTACAGGCCTAATAGAGACATCACCACCAGTTTGCTAGAGGAGAAGAGGAAAAATACAACTTAAGACTCAAGCAAAAGAATGAACGCTATTAACTGTGATTATTTTACAGATAAGTAAAAGATCTTCAAAATTTTTTTTTAATGTCATCAAAGATAGAGGGACAACTTACAGTAACTGCAGCGCAGGCCGTTAAAAGCTAAACTTACAAAAGATGAATTATTGGGTGAAACATAGCCGGGTATAAATTTTGGCGGAGCGTTGTGGAAGCTTGGCTTAATTGACTGGCGTTTGGGTTTCTCCTGAAAGGATGTGATGGATATTGTGTCCGGTGGTTCCTCACTCTGGCAATCAAAGCAAAGGACAAAGAAATGAGCCAAAATGAGAAAAAATTCCTTAATGAAGATAATTAAAATGATGATGCGGATTGTGGCAATGTTAAAAGTAGCATCTAAGAAGCCAGTGAACAGTATGCACGAAAATATTACAGATGCTACTGTAACTTTAAATACGATCTTGATGTTTTCAACTGCAATTGCCTTTACAATAAAAACTTATTTCAGTAAAAATAATAATTTTTTTTAACAAACTATAAATATAAAAGCTTCTCTACCAATGTTCATTTTATTTTTCTTCAAATATCATAACAAAGTTATCAAATAGACATTACATATCAGTTATATGCTTGGACATGTGAGTCACTGAAGGCTGATGAATTTCACTCTTTAAAACCCAATATGTTTTTATTTGATGTCGAACCTACCCAAACTTCATAGTCAGGTATAGAATGTGTCCCAAGACCTGGTCTGTCAAAAGTCACTCTGTAAGAATTGTCAGCTGTGTCCAAGGCAGCAATCGTACCAGTGAACAGTCCATCTTGTGGTTTGCGTAGACGAGCTGAAAAAGACAGAAATATATGGCTTAACCCATGAATTAAATAAGATACTTAATCATGATTTTTATAATTAGTTTAAAGTCTGTCACTTTCAAGTTTATGCCATCGCAACAGAAACAAAATTCTGAACAATAAGAATCTGGTATACACCAGTTAACTGCTGATGGAGGGATGGTGAATCAGATAGATATGATAATCAGTTTGTGAGATAGATGCAAATCTAGCTGTATTCTAAATTTTGTAAACCAAATTTCCTATATAAATCTAGTCAAACAACTTTGTTTTCAGCAGTGTCTTGCTAAAAGACAACAGTACTTCTCCACATTTTCTCATTTTGGAATGTTTCTCTCAAATTTGTTATTCCTGGATAGTTGGATATTGTTTAGTAGCTAAACTTTTAACTCATAACAATCAACCAGTGTATCGCGGATAAAGAAATAGGACCACATCACCCAGTTCTGCGAGATCTCATCAGCTGCATAGAAAGATTAGATTTAAGAACACCTGAGCACAGGGAACGATAGCGGTATCCCTGAAATCCTGCAGGAACGTCAATTGCTACCACATTGTTTAGAACAGATGGTGAGGCCTTGCAGAACTGCAGCACCTCCTTTGTAGGATTCAGCTGGGATGGAGTCTACACTTGGAGCTTTGCCATGACTTGAGATAATGCGTATTTCTTCTGGTGTCTTCATCGAGGAAGGGGTACCTGTCACATTGAGTGTATTCTCTTTCAAAGTTCACTGACAAAGGTGTTGTCTCAATCTCAGTCTGTAAATCCATCGATATGATTTAGTGCCCTTCAAGCCTTTTGGGGATGAAGCGTGATTTTCAAATAAACTTTATTATTATTATTATTACCTGTAACTTTTGTGCCTATGACTAAATGTAAGGGTATTTCATCAGGTAACTCTTTAATGGAACTAAACTCTAACATCTTTCTTTGCTGCAGCTGCCTGATTTTGTCCCTTCTCTCTTCCAAAACGGCCCGCTCCTCTGCCAAGAAAGCTGGTGAACACCTTTAAAAAAAAAAAAAACAAACAAAAAAAACAACATTCTTTTATTATGGAGTCTACATCGTTGAAATATATAATGTACAGGTGTTAACAAATTTTAATCTTGAAATATGATTTCTTTACCTGAGATTTACCAACACCCCAGGAAGACTCTGAATATATTTCTTGTTATCAATTAACATGATAATAAAATTTAACATTTTTATATTCTTTCTTCGTAATTGACAATAATTATGAGACCAGCTACAATGGCATTATTGGAACCCAAAAATAATCCAAGACAAAATACAAGTAAAGCCTTGCTTGAGTGAAAAACCTTTGAATTTTTAAACTTAAAACTTTTCTAAACACACTCATATCTAAGTCTTGAGGCCATAAAAATTATCAAAATATCAATCATAAACAGAAGGGTAGCTTAAGTAGAAGTGATATGATGTTCCCGTCAACGACATGTCCTAATAATGGTGAGTACTCAAGTTTAAATGGAAGCATTTTATACAAGTACTAAATATGGATGGTTTTCTTGTTCTCTTACCTCCTAGGCTTACCCATCAGCCTCCTGATTTTATTCCACTCCACGCGTCTCAGCTTTTTACATTTAAGTTGGGGGAAAGATTCACGCAAACATATGCAAAAATCATTTTCTCCTAGAAACAAGGGCCTGAGGAAAATATTTTAAAAACCAAGTTAGCACTCTTAATGCTTTAGTTAATTTTATTTTAAATTCAAAGCTTTGAAAAAGCTGACTGTTTTTATCTATTATCCAACGAAACAAACGGAGAGATACTTGTACTTTTTTTTTAAAACAAACATTTATTCAATTAGGACAACTCTTTTATGTTGAAGTCTGTAATTTCTAACTATCATAACTTTAAAACTTGATAAAATTGACCTTTTAAAAACTCAGTCTTTATTTAACAATGGTGAAATGTAGAAATTTTCAAAGCCAATAATATATCAGACTACATAAAGCACAGTTCGGCATCATATATCTGTGATTACAACAAACTCAACATTAATTACTAGTTTCCTAAAAGTTAGCAAAGGAAGATTGTAACTGAAATGTTCACACTTACGCATCAATGTTTGAGTAAAACCACTCATAGCAAACCCATTTGTGTGCTTTGGGGAGCTTAAGCAAGTTCCGCAATCGCATGCCAGTTGCCTGGGCAGCTCTTTTATCAAGCCCCACAGGGATCGGTACATACTCTTGTACAGGAAGAAGCTGAAAGAAACCATGATTTATTGAGGATAAGAGTTGTGTAATTTACTTTTAATTGAAAGTGGAAATGAATCAAAATGCTCAAATCAAACATAAAAGACATACCACATTTATTTCAACAAGATGAAAAAGCAATTATGCCTTGGATTAATTCAGGGTTCCAATAGTGCCAGTGTACCTGGTCTCATTGCCAGTGTACCTGGTCTCATTGCCAGTGTACCTGGTCTCATTGCCAGTGTACCTGGTCTCATTGCCAGTGTACCTGGTCTCATTGCCAGTGTACCTGGTCTCATTGGCAGTGTACCTGGTCTCATTACCAGTGTACCTGGTATCATTGCCAGTGTACATGGTCTCATAATTATTTGTCAACCATATTTTAATGCGACGATCTCTTGGAAAGTTTGCCTCTTTAACATATATAAAAATAAACTGACATATACTGAACTGAGCTTAATTGTGTCTACTTACTACAGGAGCTTGAATAACCCGACGTTTAGGTGTCCTTGTGACCTGGTAATCTGTCTCTTCATCATCATTAAAGAACCTAGCATTCTTTTTTCTTATCCGAGCTGGCTGAATGAAGGAGTAAATTAACAATTTAAGTTGTTAGAAAGGCAGAAAAATTATGTTATATATTTAAAGGTATGACTTTTAAAATTTATTTCTCCATCACAAATATCAAAAACTTTGCTATTATTGACACATTTGTAACTTCTGACGCATGTCTATTTGGGATTGTAAACACAAGAAGTCAAGCAATTCAACAATAACTGATAAAATATTTAGCACACTAAAAGTAAAGATGTGCCATGATATTTTTAATACAAGGTTAGTCAACATTTAACAAAATTAGCTAAGGCATTCAAAATTTTGACATTTTAGTTACCTATAAAATAAAATAAAAAGTTAGTTTCGATAATTTCTAATAATTCTATTTAAACCTAAAATATGATGATTTTTGAATTTATTGAAATTTTAACTTCAATTTTCATCATAATCATCAGAACACATGTGTATGGTGAAGAAATTAACAAACTATTTGTTTCTAAAGTTAAAAGTTAGAGCGAGAGTCTAGACAAACATGAAGGTTATGTCAAACTTATAACATTACAACTAGAAATATGATACTACATTCTTTTTACTAAGGCGACTTAACAGTTTTTAGGAACAAAAAAAATGATAAAACATATTTTATGGACACTTCAAGATGACTTAAGTTAAATAAATTAACGTTGAAAGACATGAATGTCACTATAAAATAAAACTTATTTTTCAATTTTTTTGGTCATTAAAAATGAACTTACATAGTGGCCTGATCTTTGAGGAGAGCCTAATCCTGGAAGGAAATAATGATACAAAATAATGAGTTTGTCTATGCCTGCTTTCTATGATAAGTTCTGGAAATATTTTAGATGAATAAATTAACTAGACTGTAGTCTGTAGCCTCTTAGAAATATATATTTGCTCTGGTCATGTACTAACAACCCATGCCATTGTTGTAGCCATGGCTAATCAAGATAAAACAATGACTATGAAATGACTATCACTTACCCTCTTTTAAACTGACTAGAGCTTGTGCTGAACCTTGATGTAATAATAAATATTACAAAATTTACCAAAAGAACAATTTTTTGATATTATAAATATTAACAAGATGAATTAACAAATTAATTAGACTCAGGCCTACACAAAAATTTTAAGCCCAAATTCAAGGCAATAAAGGTGACAAAAACAAATAGGCCTAATGCTGACAATAATACATAAAAATACAATTGAAAGCAGCGTAGGGGTACTATAGTCTAATAGTTAATTTTGAAGCAAATTTTTAATTAAATAAATCAAATTTACCATCCAAGTGCATTAAAATAAGTGCAAGTTTCAAGTTATCTTTATTTATAAATATTTTAAAATTCTATTTGGTTAAGTATAGGATTAGGCACTCTACTCTAGGCTTATTTTTGTATTAGGTTAAGTTATTATTTTTTGTTTTTGTGTTGCTTTGAATACTTTGCTCCAATTAATTAATTACAACCAGCAGGCTAGTACTAGTAATTTTACTTTTACCTTTTAAACTTTTAGACACATGCCTATGCTAATTAATCTATTCTAAACCTTGAATATATGCCTATGCCATCTATGTCATATGATTGTCATTTATGAATTTATAATATGTTTTGATGTCGTATTTGAAATCTAGTTTTTAGTCAACCCTGACCCTTACATGACTAATGACTAATGATAGTCATAATTGATGTGCTGGTCCTGGTGATGAAAGTGCAGGTAGGTGGCCTTTTTGAAGTTTTCCTACCTACTTAAACTTACACTAAGTTAAACTTAGTCTACTATTTCAACTGCTTGAACTAACCCTTTTAAAGCTTAAAACTTAAATGAAAGAATATTCATGATTTTAAAATTTTACTAGAAAACATAAATGCCACATTTTAAGGTAGATTGTTCAAATTTAAATTAGTTCGGCTTTGGCGGCTTGGTCCAATAAATTTAAATATTTTGAACATTCGACTTATTTTATTCCTCATGATAACTAACAAAAATTAAAAGATAGCCATCGTTCAAAGTTATAATTAGAAGCTAAACAATAAGATTATACTTAAATTATTGTCCATATTTGTAAAACATTATTCTTACTCGCTATTGAATCTTCGGTCGCCATTTTGACGCGCCTCTATTTCAAAGGGGACAGTCACGTGATTCTATGTGTAAGCTTTTCAATTAAGTTTTCTAAACTTTTCTAATTGAATTTGACGTCATCAAACCTAAGCATCACCATAAATGAGATGATCACTGATCACTTCATTAGTCAATCTGGTTGAAGTCTCAGTTTTAAAAACGCTCTCTTCATATTTTATCGAACACTTTTTGCTAACATTGTGATTGTCAACAATAAGCCTGTTCCAAACATTAAAAGATCGGTGCAAAATAGCAAACTCTGGTCCTTATGTCCTTATCCACAGACCAAAGTACAAAAACCACTTTCACTTATGTAATATCAGGATATCTTCTACTTTTCACGAACCAGACCCTACAAATGTTATTATATTGCCTCTGCCTGTACAATTATTGTGCCATATGGAATTGGGTTGCCAAATGAGGCATGCGGTATCCTTTTATTCAAAAAAAAAAAAAACACCCCCCCCCCCCCCCCCCAAAACAAAAAATTTTTAAAAATAAATTATTTAATAATATTAATAATAAATAAATAACCTTAAAATGCCCTCCTTAAAAAAAAAATGTTTGTGCAGTGTTAGAGAATAGTTTCCACTTCCCCTACATGTAAAAACCATGTCTTCACCCCTGTACTCAAAACAACTCGTTAATTCGCTATTAGATAAAACGATTCATTTGAGGTTGTGAGATTTAGTGTTCAGGAAAGAACAGCGAACATTTGACAAGGGTGTCCGCCCTTTGAATAAACCGAGTATTCACCGTACAACGCCGGCCTTAGGTAAACGTTCGCCCTGTGCGAAGCACCCGTTCGGCGCCCCCTTCCCTGTCCCTGTATGGCTCTGCCCTTTTTACCGATTACGACGTAGGCTTTGGAGCACGTGTAATGATGCTATACGTGTGGCTAACTACACGCAACATTAATTTAGACTGCTTAGTTTTTCTACGGTACCTTGTTCCATTTCCACACCACCTTTGGGGTCGTCCATAATCTGCCCCCCTCCCCCTTTGAGGTAGGAACTAACGGCGCGTTTTTTGTTAAAGGAGTATCCCCTGAATCCCCTATGGCCACGGCGCACTGTGCGAGGGCACGCAGGTCGCACACCCTGAAGGCCGGCGTTGCCCCGAATTTTCAAGTATTTTATCTAAGAGAGAGCTCTTCATCCATTTAATAATTCAAGTGCTTTACGCTCAATTCATTTCTGTCTTATAAATTGTGTGGCCTATTTTAATTAATAGTTATGACCTCTCATAAGAGACAATGAAGAAAAAAAATTGAAGCTGGCATTCGGCCATATGCATTTTTTTCCCCATGTTAGGGGCAGCACTTATCTTGCCCCGCCCCCAGTGGCACTTATCCTAGTTACGCCACATTGTCATCATGCAAACCTTGAGATGGTAAACACTCAATGGACGAAGACAAATGTGTACAGCAATAAAACTAAAAACGACTAAATTGTCCTTTTTATAATATTATTGAAAGGAATAGTAACTGGTGCCTTTAACAGATTAAAATTAATGGAACCTATGACGTAACGCTCCAACAACTGAAGTAAATTTATATTAAATATGGCACTTGGTGCCATAATGTCTCCACAGGACGCTTAAAAAATCCCGTTCCCCTTCAAAAAGTCAAATAGAAACATTGAATTCAGGCATACTCTAAAAATGCACCTCTTGATTTTGAAATAATAAAAAATGTTCTAGATAGGGGGGCTTCACAGATCCCCTTCCGCCCAAGAGCCATCGGCGCCCCTGATTTCTGCCTGACTTCCCGATGAAAACGATCGCCAGTTTTGGTGCCCGTAAATCCATTGCCTAGTGGCGCAGCTAGTGTTTCTGTTAGTGCCACCAATTATGCAGATGTCCGAAAATGCTGCCCCGCCATATAAAGAAAAAAAAATGACAACTTGACGGACAACACCATCCGCCCCTGCTTTCTACGCCACAGGCAGAGGCGTAGTCAGAGTGATTGTGGCCAGTTTAACAGATTCATTTTTACACCTTCCCCTTCAAATCTGAAACCCATCATTGTCATCCATCGAATCCCATTTTGGCACCCCTGCTGGTCTGGCACCTGGCAACATCCGTCCCATCTACCCCACTTTGCTACGCCTCTGTCCCATTGTACTGCAAACCCAAAATTCTGAAAGGCCCCCTCCCCCCTTTTTTTCCCCCAGAGAACATTGCCTGACAGTAACACCGCCTATGCTGTGGTGTGAAGCACTTTTTTTTTTTTTTTAATATTTTTTTTAATATAATTATTTTAATAGGACCTACATATTACTTTAGAACTTTAGTGTGTAGCTGTGCCATGAAACTAATGATATCGTGGTACTGAGTGACACATTGGGTTGTGTATTTAATCTGGCGCGATAACACTAATCAACTCTCCGGCGTCACGTGACCCTTCCTGGCGTTTCATTCACTTGGAGAGTGACTTTTGTGTCGGTTACCACAGGTGAGACATATTAATATATAACAGGTGGGAGAGATTCGTTCCTTTGACTAAAGGTTACAACACAGGTGAGTAGTGGGTGAGACTTTGGGAAAGTGTGTTGTATTGTGGTGGCCGCAGTATGTCATGTTGTTTGTCCTTTGCCACGGGACGATGACCAAAGCGATTCTGGAGCAGTTGTTTTGTGTTGAGAGTTGCTCTATTCGCCAGCCTCACTCTCTCGTCCTTGCCTATTTGATCCAATGGCAAGACTTATTCAAGACGACTGGAAATAAACCGGGATGCAGTGGATGTGTGTGTGTGTGTGTTTTTTCCCCCCACTGTGCTCCTTATGCGTCCTACGTCGCAGGAGTTGTCGGAATTTTCATTGTGTCAATGGCGTAACGTCTACGGAACTCCATCTCCGGGTTTGACTTCAGAGTTTCCTTCTCTTAGATAAGTCGCCATCCAAAGTTAACGAGACCCACCCGTTTGGGGCGTTGGGGGTGTATTTGCTTGTCTAAGCTTTTGCTGGGGATCGACTCATAGTTTTGTCAGCTTGGCCCCCCACCACAGCTATGCATGTTTTTACAGCCCCCCCNCTCCCCCTGTTTGACAATCTAATTGATTCGTAAAAGCTCGTTAAAAGTGTAAATGTGCCTTCACACAATTTAATCTATCCTGTAAATTAATGATACATGTTTGTAGGCTATACTAGGAGTCTCCCCCCCCCTCCACACACTAGCTGTGGACGGCGGCTACCACTCCCCCCCTCCCCCAATGGTAATCCCCCTCCCATTTGTTTAGAGAAGCCATCATTTCTAAAATGTCACCCTATTATCGTTCACCCCACTAGACCTGGTTTAGTTCCGAACATGTGACGCAACTACCAAAAATGCCCATTAATTCGGAAAAACTGCGAGAGATCTGTGACGCATGACCTAATCGCAGCTTACACCTTCCCGGTTCAGGGGCATTAGACTTTCCCCATTAATAAGGCTTACTTAGTACAGTCCACTAGCTTCTATCTAAAGAGCTTTACTAATATCCGTAAGGCTTACTACGCTGAAGCATAAGGACCCACCGAGAGCAGGGGCCCACCGATAGCAGGGGCCCACCAAGAGCAGGGGCTCACCAAGAGCAGGGGCCCATGCAACCCTTAGCCATGCCATGGCAATACTTCATAACCGAAAATTCCTCATTTAAAAAAGAAAAGAAACCACAATCCATGCCACAACAACCAGACAGCTGCTAAAACTGGCCAATCTGGCAAAGTTTCTGCTAAAACTGGCCAATCTGGCAAAGTTTCTGCTAAAACTGGCCAATCTGGCAAAGTTTCTGCTAAAACTGGCCAATCTGGCAAAGTTTCTGCTAAAACTGGCCAATCTGGCAAAGTTTCTGCTAAAACTGGCCAATCTGGCAAAGTTTCTGCTAAAACTGGCCAATCTGGCAAAGTTTCTGCTAAAACTGGCCAATCTGGCAAAGTTTTCGGACGGCTAATTATGTTTTTTGTTTTAAATTCTAATTTCCCTCGAAGATTTAGGCAAACTGTTCTATAATTTCTGCGCTTTTGCTTCAAAATAGCGCCCTCCGTTTGACTTCTTTCTGTGTCCATCCACACTGGGAACTCTCAGTAAGGACTGTGTTGAAGACCGCACTCCGTATGACTTCTTTCTGTGTCCATCCACACTGGGAACTCTCAGTAAGGACTGTGTTGAAGACCGCACTCCGTATGACTTCTTTCTGTGTCCATCCACACTGGGAACTCTCAGTAAGGACTGTGTTGAAGAGCGCACTCCGTATGACTTCTTTCTGTGTCCATCCACACTGGGAACTCTCAGTAAGGACTGTGTTGAAGAGCGCACTCCGTATGACTTCTTTCTGTGTCCATCCACACTGGGAACTCTCAGTAAGGACTGTGTTGAAGAGCGCACTCCGTATGACTTCTTTCTGTGTCCATCCACACTGGGAACTCTCAGTAAGGACTGTGTTGAAGAGCGCACTCCGTATGACTTCTTTCTGTGTCCATCCACACTGGGAACTCTCAGTAAGGACTGTGTTGAAGAGCGCACTCCGTATGACTTCTTTCTGTGTCCATCCACACTGGGAACTCTCAGTAAGGACTGTGTTGAAGAGCGCACTCCGTATGACTTCTTTCTGTGTCCATCCACACTGGGAACTCTCAGTAAGGACTGTGTTGAAGAGCGCACTCCGTATGACTTCTTTCTGTGTCCATCCACACTGGGAACTCTCAGTAAGGACTGTGTTGAAGAGCGCACTCCGTATGACTTCTTTCTGTGTCCATCCACACTGGGAACTCTCAGTAAGGACTGTGTTGAAGAGCGCACTCCGTATGACTTCTTTCTGTGTCCATCCACACTGGGAACTCTCAGTAAGGACTGTGTTGAAGAGCGCACTCCGTATGACTTCTTTCTGTGTCCATCCACACTGGGAACTCTCAGTAAGGACTGTGTTGAAGAGCGCACTCCGTATGACTTCTTTCTGTGTCCATCCACACTGGGAACTCTCAGTAAGGACTGTGTTGAAGACCGCACTCCGTATGACTTCTTTCTGTGTCCATCCACACTGGGAACTCTCAGTAAGGACTGTGTTGAAGACCGCACTCGGTATGACTTCTTTCTGTGTCCATCCACACTGGGAACTCTCAGTAAGGACTGTGTTGAAGACCGCACTCCGTATGACTTCTTTCTGTGTCCATCCACACTGGGAACTCTCGGTAAGGGCTGTGTTGAAGACCGCACTCCGTATGACTTCTTTCTGTGTCCATCCACACTGGGAACTCTCAGTAAGGACTGTGTTGAAGACC